AAAAAGTAAGATACTATATTATTTCAAAATACTTTGATAAAAAATAAATTTGTTTAAAATTTTTGATAATAAGTTTAGATAATAAGATGATTTCATAAATTTTAATATATTTTAGGATGAGAATTAAAGATAATTAATAATTTATTATTTTTTATATACGTATATTGTTATTAGATAGTGATATAAGATTGTTTTCTTTATAAAAGAAATAAAAAAGGATTAACACGCATCTCGCGATAAGCCAATGGTTACACAGTGTTTATCGAGAGCGATTAAATTAATCGGATTTACATGGATCAGGCCATCTTAGCTTTCGTCTCTTCCTTCCAAAATGTCCTTGGTTGAAAGCATATCACATATAACCTTAACGGCCTCATGTATCAAAGATTTTGACCAATGTATTCGGTTTTATAATTTTCTCGGCTTTCAAACGATTTCACAGGAAGACATTCCCAAGCCGGCGTCTGCCGAAAGGCCTGAGGCTAGTTGGGAAAAAGAAAGCTATCTTCATTTGTTCGGAGATAAAGTTAAAAACGGTATCACCCTAAGAATTGTCTTGCCGAATGAGACGGCAAAGAAATCAATTCCTCATGGGGAAAGTTCTTTGGAGCCAGAAGACGCGTCCATAACTATAGTTTCAAAGAATCTTGCGGTAAAGTAGACCATTTTACTAGTGAGACGCATAAATTTTCGAAATTTTCTGAATTCTCATTCTCTATACTAGGGAGTGGAGTCTGCCTTAAAGTCCAATAACATTCATTTTCAAAAGTACACATATACTGAAGCTGGCCTATTAACAACCAATCCATCGTATGAATTATCTCGCACAGAAATTTGCGCGCGCGATCCATTAAATAACCCTATTACGTTTACCAACAAGCCAATTCCATTTGGTAAAACCATTTATCCCGTTTCCCCGATGCTCTCGTCGAAGCCAGCTGATCCGATAGACGAAAACATTACCCCATTGAAGTCTAAAGGAAAAAGGATAGGCGTTTTGACAAGTGGTGGCGATGCACCTGGAATGAATGCAGCAGTGAGAGCTATAGTGAGGGTGGCGATCTCAAGAGGGTGCGAAGCATATGCCATTTTTGAAGGATACGAGGGTAATCATCACTTTGCATTGATTATTACACAGATAAGATAATGTTAAACTCCTTTCTTGTTATTTCAGGACTGGTGCAAGGTGGAAAAATGATCAGAAAATTTGGGTGGGCCGACGTTAGGGGATATCTTGCTATTGTAAGTACGAGATTTCTGCGCGCAGAGATCACGTTTATAATAATTCTACTATATTTTTTAGGGTGGTACGCTTATTGGGACAGCACGTTGTAAATCTTTTCGAGAGCGTAGTGGAAGATTAGATGCAGCATGTAACTTGGTAAAGAATGGAATTGATGCCTTGATAGTTTGCGGTGGTGACGGTTCGTTAACTGGTGCTGATATCTTGCGGAAAGAATGGCCCGGTTTGATCGAGGAGTTGATTCAGAACGGTAGCGTTAATAAATGTGCATGACATTTATAATATGGTTTCCTAAATTCTATATTCTTTATAATAAATAGGAAAGTTAACAGTCGAGGAGGCTGATCCATACAAGCATTTAACTATTGTTGGTCTTGTGGGGTCAATTGATAACGACATGCCTTCAACAGATGTAACCATAGGTGCTGTAACGTCGTTGCATAGAATTTGTGAGGCAGTTGATAGTATTTCCTCTACTGCTTCGAGTCATTCTCGGGCATTTGTAATTGAGGTAATGGGTCGACGTTGTGGTTGGTTAGCGTTAATGGCCGCCATCAGGTAATTTTTTTTTTTTTTTTTACTAATCTAAGGTAAATTTATATCATTTAATTTTTTCGTTGAAAAATTAATATTAAGAAAATAAATTTTTTGATTGTAATAGTACTGGAGCTGATTTTGTATTTATACCTGAGCGTCCTCCTTCCGAAAATTGGGAGGCTGAGATGTGTGATGTAATTAAGAGAGTAAATATAACAATATATTAATAACATGTGTATAGAAAAGATGAGACATGTTAAAAGACGATCATTCACATTTTGTCATTAAAAAGCACCGTCAGCTCGGGAAGCGTAGAACCATTGTCATCGTAGCCGAAGGTGCTATTGATCGAAATCTTAATCCTATAAAACCTGATTACATCAAGGAACTTTTGATTAAGAAACCATTGGAACTCGACACTAGAGTTACAACGTTAGGGCATACTCAACGGGGGGGTAGACCTTGTGCGTATGATCGAAATCTTGTAAGAATTGGGAATTTTGATAATATTTATATCTCTGTGATCTTTGTCCCAAATTAAACTACGATTCTACTATTATTAAGGCGACTATCCAAGGCGTTGAGGCCGTAAATGCTGTGCTTGAATCCACGCCAGACACGCCGTCCCCTATGATTGGCGTGAATGAAAATAAAATAACATCAGAACCGTTATTAAGGGCTGTTGAATTGGTGCGGTAAATTTCATATTATTATATATATATATCATATTTTTTAATGACAAATTACGTTTTGACATGTATTGTAGACTCATCAAGTGGCAGAAGCAATCTCAAAACAGGACTTTAGGCGTGCAATGGAATTACGCGACCCTGAATTTGCCGATAATTACGAAGCTTATAGGGCCACGACTCTTGTAGACAGCGAAGAAATGTTGGTTCCAGAATATCAGGTTTGTCTAGTTGATTGTTTTATTAGATATTTGAGCAATAATCGAATATTGTTTAGCGTCTTCGTATAGGAATAATGCATATCGGGGCACCAGCTGGTGGAATGAATCAAGCAACACGTGCTGCAGTTCGTTTTGCACTTAACCGTGGTCATGTACCCATCGCCATTTATAATGGATTCAGAGGAATCTTACAAGAAAACATTCGTGAACTTTCATGGCTTGACGTCGACGATTGGACATCTAAAGGTGGTTCAGAACTCGGCACAAATAGAACTGAGCCGGATATCGATTTAGGCATGGTTGCATATCAAATTCAGAAGCAAAGATTCGATGCCTTACTCATTATTGGTGGATTTGAGGCATATGATTCAGTGAGAGAATTACGTGATGCCAGAGATAAATATCCCGCTTTCTGTATACCTATAGTATGTATTCCTGCTACCATCTCAAATAATGTCCCCGGTACAGACTTTTCATTGGGGAGCGATACAAGTTTAAACGCAATTGTTGATAGCTGTGATGCTATCAAACAATCTGCATCCGCATCAAGAAGGAGAGTGTTTGTTGTCGAAGTTCATGGTGGTCAGTGTGGCTACCTTGCTGTTCTGTCCGGACTTGCGGTAATAACAATGTTCGTTCGTGATTGCTACAATTATGCGAAATTGTCTGGGAAATAAAGTATTTTATCTATTTAGGTTGGCGCAACGAGTACTTACATTCCTGAGGAAGGAGTATCTCTTAAAACGCTCCTGGCCGATGTGAACCATTTAAGACGCAGATATGGTGATGATAAAAAAGGCACTAGTTCTGGTCGTTTAATTTTAAGGTAAATTTTCAGATTTGCAAGTTTTTTTCTTATATTTATGCAATATTAAATTTTCGCACGTTAATTCCTTAGGAATGAGTGTGTTTCAAAAACTTATACGACAGATGTTATTGCAAAAATCATAGAGACTGAGGGTAGTGGACTTTTTGATTCGAGAACTTGTGTATTAGGTCACATTCAACAAGGAGGTGCCTCCTCTCCACTAGACCGTATACGAGCTATTCGGTTAGCTGTCAGATGCATAGATTTTATAGAGCGCCAAGCGTTTCCATCCATGTCTCCCCATGAAAAAGCGGGACCCAAAGTATACACAAATTCTGAGGAGTCTGCTTCCGTTATTGGGATTATAGGGGCGCAAGTCGTTTTTAGTGTAAGTCACATTGATATGTCGTTGTTCTATGCTATCTTGTTTTACAGTATGAGTCATTTTGGAAATTAATATACTCCACTTAGTCTGTTGTGGATCTGCTAAAAGAGACTGATAAGAAGAATCGTAAAAGCAAAAGAGCTTGGTGGATTCATTTCAAAGAGCTTGTGGATTTATTATCAAAATGGGGTATTTATTATTTTAATTATTTTAAGTTTGGCTAACTTTTGAATTTACCATTTTGTTATATGTTGATCTTAGGATATTCGGAAAAAGAAGCCCAAACGGAGGATTTATATGAAGCGATAGATAAAGATGTGCACATTTGATTTTAGTGCGCTACTTTATTTCATAAAAATTTTCAAAATTTTTTAACTTTATTGTATTATAACGTTTAACTTTTTATTTTATTGCAAATCAAACTTTTATTATTACGTGTGTACATTGTCTGGAACAACTTTTTTCAAACCGATAAAGCTCTGGCGGTTTGATAAATATTTTTTATCACAAAAATAAATCTAATGAAAATCATTTTTTCATCATTTGAAATAAATTAACGGTAATATTTTATTCAGATCACTAAGTTTAAAAGGAATGAAAGTAACATGAAATAATAATTAAATGGATGGAGAATATATTAAAATTTTCTAACAAAAAATAAAAGTTAATGAAGTTTTTTTAAATGTTAAATATTAAATAATTTTTAAAAAAACAATTGACACGTTTAAGCTTTAAAAATTGGAATAATATGAACTTAGATGATTTTACCTATACTGTATAAATTTAAATTAAATAAACCTTTCAGTGTATATTTACAATATATACATATATATCGTATGTCACATGGTTTGAATGATTTTAATTAGTATAATAAATTTATAGATTAATTAGATTCAGATTAAAATCTTAATTATTAAATTTTATAAACTCAATAAAGTACTTGATTTATATGATATAACAATGTAATAATAATTTTCATTGCTTGATTTTATTATATATTTTACAAATAATAATATATTGTATATTTAAAAAAAATATAATTTTAAAAATATAATAAAAATATAAAATAAAATAATATTATAAATTAATCTAATTTTTTTTTTTACCAATACTACTTTATAAAAGTTTACAAACAGCATATATTATTACAAATCAGAAAAACAAAAAATTATTATAATACAATTCTTAATAATAACAATATTACTTTGAAAATATAAAACTATTTAATAAATTACTTTTATATACAATATATAGGGTATTGCAAAAAAATCACAATTATATTTTTATTTGTAACTTAACAAAAATTATTTAAAAAAAAATAATAAATTTAAATATAATTAAATCAACATCTATAGAATAATTTTATTTAGAACTACTTTAGTAATTAATTTATAATTTAATTTGATATTTTGATTTTTAATAAAAATTTTATATTGTATTTTTTAGTTTCTATTTAATTTCTGTTTTAAAAAAAAGTAATATATTTATATATTTATATAGATTTTGCTTTTTAAACAAAAGATTTTAAAAAGTAAAATAAAAGAACAAGATAATAAATTAAATATTTTTTTTTAAAAAAAAATATTAATATTAATATAACAAATATTTAATTAAAAAATTTAATAAATCTATATCTTTTAAAATATAAATTAAAAAAATTTTTTAAATAAATACTTATTTAATAATTATAAAAAATTTTTTTGCAGATTTTTTTGCAACACCTGTATCTAATTTAAAACTTAAAAATTCGAATTCAAATATAATATTATTGAAATATAATAATAAACAATATGTTGTAAACAAATTAAAATATTATAAATACTAAAAAAGTAATATTGATAACAAAATAATAAACAAAGTATACATGGGCATAAATTATTTTGCTGTTGACTCAATTCCCAAAATTCTCAAAAATAATTGCGTCATGACTCAATTATTTATATGTTTTAATAGTGACTTAATTAATTGTGTCAAATAATTGCATCAATTGTGTCAAAGATCTATGAATTTCAGCAACATATATAAAACAAAATACATATCAACCCAATAATAACAACAAATATAAAACAAACAAATATATCAAGATCAATAATAAATAAATAATCTAAATAAACAAATCAAATTTAAATAAACTGATTATATACTGTATATTAAACAATAAATTAATAATAAATTGTACTTGCCTAATTAGAAACAACAGTATTATAAACAATTCAAAATAAAATAATAAGGTATTTAATAATATTTAAAAACAATTAATATATATATAATTAAAGTACTTTTTGAAAATTGTTATGATTGTTTTTTATTTAAAATTATTAAACTTGATACAATTATTAATACAAAATTAAACTATTTAATATTAATTTAACAATAATAATAAATTGATTTTTAATAAAAAATATATTAAATAAATATAAAAATAAAATAATCTTAATAATAAAATTTTAAATAAATATTTAATAAATATTTATAATAAATTTAATTTGTAATTAATAAAAATATTAGCAATTTAACTTATATAAAAAAATTTAGTAAAAAACCAAATAAAAAATAAGAATCTATTAATAAATCAAAATGTTATATAAATTATACTAATAAAAGAAGATAAAAAAATTTTAAACAAAAATATAAAAAAATTTTATTAATAATAAAAAATTTTGTTACTAAAAATAAATAATATACAATATATTTAATTTAAAAACAATTATAACAATAATATTAAAAGAAATAAAAAAAAAAAATTAAATATATTATTAAAGTTTTCAAAAAATATTAAAACTGGTATTGAAATAATATTAAAATAATATTGATTTATAATAATTTTAATATATAAATTGTAATCTATTTATATAAATTGATATTAAATTAATATTAAATTAATATCAATTAGCATCAAAGTAATATTATTAAAAGTTCTATATATTATTAATCTTTTGAAACTATAATTAAAAAATATATATTTAATACAAATATATTTAAAATAAAAATAAATAATATATAATAAAAAAAAAAAAAACTCTTCCCGACAATCAATTTTTTACTTAAAAATTTCCTTATTTGGTAACAAACTTTTTCAAG